CTGATATTAGCCCATATGTCTGATCCCAATCTATAAAGTCCTCTTCAGACTCGCAAAACACATGCGATGATGCTGAATGCAGGAGGATCACAGGCCAGTGGGTGGGAAGTCTTGTGGATCCAGTGGTGGTGTAAGCATCTCAGCGCTGGCAGGGGTCTCCACGTGACTCCTCCAGCTCAGGGCACTAGTGTAGCTCCATGTGTCTTGTCAGATGCAGTGTTTCCCAGGGAGTGAGCTTGTGTTCCGCCTCCATTGAGCTATTTATCTCCTTAGAGCCTTCAAATGAGGTCATCAAGCTGTGACCTGATTGACAGGCTAGACTTCACCCCTTCACTGGTAAGTCTCAAATTGACAACAGATTATGTAACTACCACAGGTCTCTAGGAAAGAAAGGCCAGAGCCATGTATAACAATGTGTGTAGCAATTGGTAGGTATTAGAGTGGATGATTCCAAATTAGAGACCAACTTTACTACAGTTTTATCTTATTTACTCCCATTTTTTTCTTCCTAGGTAACACTATTCCTTTTACTTCCCAATTCTCCTTTCAGGGAACATATCCATACTTCAACCCTAGATGTATTTTTAAAAAAAATCATTTTATTGGGGGCTCATTCAACTCTTATCACAATCCATCTATCCATCCATCCATTGCATCAAGCACGTTTGAACATTTGTTGCCATTATTCTCAAAACATTTATTTTCTACTTGAGCCCTTGGTATCAGTTCCTCATCCCCCCCCACATGAACCATTGATAATTTATATATTATTATTATTTTGTCATGTCTTATACTGTCTGACGTCTCTCTTCACCCACTTTTCTGTTGTCCGTCTCCCAGGGAGGGGGTTATATGTAGATCCTTGTAATTGATTGCCCCTTTCTACCCCACCTTCCCTACACCCTCCCTGTATTGCCACTCTCACCACTAGTCCTGAAAGGTTTATCTGTCCTGGATTCCCTGTGTTTCCAGTTCCTATCTGTACCAGTGTACATCCTCTGGTCCAGTTGGACATGTAAGGTAGAATTGGGATCATGATATAGAGGGGGAGGAAGCATTTAAGAACTAGAGGAAAGTTGTATGTTTCATCATTGCTACATTGCACCCTGACTGGCTTGTCTCCTCTCCGCGACCCTTCTGTAAGGGGATGTACACTTGCCTACAGATGGGCTTTGGGTCCCCACTCCCCTTATTCACACTGATATGATTTTTTGGTTCTGATGATGCCTGATACCTGATCCATTTGACACCTCGTGATCGCACAGGCTGGTGTGCTACTTCCACGTGGGCTTTGTTGCTTCTGAGCTAGATGGCCACTTGTTGACCTTCAAGAATTTAAGACCCCAGATGCTATATCTTTTGATAGTCAGGCACCATCAGCTTTCTTCACCACATTTGCTTATTCGCCCGCTTTGTATTCAGCGATTGTGTCAGGAAGGTGAGCATCATTGAAGGCGAGTTTAATAGAACAAAGTGTTCTTGCATTGAGGGAGTACTTGAGTGGAGGCCCAATGTCCATCTGCTACCTTATTACTAAACCTATAAATATATGCACATAGATCTATTTCTCCATCTTCATATATAAATATATTTACATATGTCCTTGCCTGTATTTAGACCTCTATAAATGCCCTTTGCCTCCTAGTTCTTTCCTCTATTTCCTTTGACTTTCCTCTTGTCCCACTCTCATGCTCAGCCTTCACCATAGATATCTTTTTGATGGAATTTTTCTTTTAGGTTTAGTCATTTCTTGTGCTTGGACCCCGACACCCCACGTTGGACCACCCCTCAGTGTGTGTAGGAGGCGGGGAAACAGGACACTCTAAGTCTGGTTAGTGCAATTAAGCTTATTTTTTACCCACTTCTCATCCTAGCTAGGGTCTGGCCAACGACCATTATGGTCTCGCAATCACCCTTGTGGTAGTAGATGCTAACATTTTTCTGGAATAGGCAGTTACCCACTGAGATCCCTGTGGGAGACAGCGTGTTGTTGTGTGCTGTCGAGTTTATGTCGACTCACAGCGACTAGCGTAACTCAAAATCCCATACCCAACGTCTTCGCCCACCTTTGGCATTGAGCTCTGTGTCTGAGTGTCTACTTAAGTTTCTCGCCAGGAGATGTCTGCCCTCTCTTTACTCAGAGAAGTCATGGACTTGATGTCTGTTCCTCAGAGCCACGCCTTTTTACCTTGTAGCGTCTCCAGGAATGGGCTGCAGGGAGAAGGAAGTACCCTATGGGCCTATGCTATCTGTCTCCGAAAGACGTTCCACTCCCTAGGAACCCAGCTGCACAATAGGCAAATCCCAGACTTCCCTTCTGCATGTTGTTGTCAGCTGCTACTGAGTCAGCGATTGCACGACAGAATCAGATGGTTGTCATCCGCTGGCCGTTGATTGGCTGATTTGGGGCCTCGATCGTCAACGTCCTTCCCAGTTTGCCTGAGTCTGGGAACTCCGCTGAACCCTGGTCAGTATCTTAGCAACAGGCAAGCCTTCACTGACAGATGAGTGGTGGCTTTTCTTGAGGTGCATCGGGTGAACTGAACCTGGGACTCCTGATTATGCAAACCAGAGCCACTGTCCTGGAATCAATTTTTTTCTTGAGGTGCATCGGGTGAACTGAACCTGGGACTCCTGATTATGCAAACCAGAGCCACTGTCCTGGAATCAATTCCGCGATAGGACAGGATAGAACGGTCCCTGTGGGTTTCCGAGATTCTAACTGTTAACGGGAATAGAAAGCCTCCTCTTTCCCACAAAGAACAGCTGGTGTTTTCGAACTGCAATTCAGAACCCACTCTGCCAACAGGGCTCCTCCGGGACTCCCATATGGGAAGTGAGAAGGCTACTGTTGAACTGCCACTGCCTTCCTCCTCCTCTTCCTCTTTCTTCTTTTTGAAATAGTTTTATCTAGGGCTCTCACAGCTCTTATAACATTCCACACATCAATTGTTTCAAGCGTATGTGTACATAGGCTGCCCTCATCATGTTCTAAACATGGACTTTCTATTGGAGCCCTTTGGTAGGCTTCCTTCTTATGTGAACCCACTGCTTCGTATTATTCCCGAGTCCACGGTATGGCTCCTGTAGCTGATTTAGCTCAAGGACAACCTGTAAAGATGGGCTCTGTGTTAGTCTGGGTAGACTCGAGAAACTAATTCATAAACACGCACACATATGTGTATGAGAAAGAGATTTATATACAAGAGCAACTGAACAATGAGAAAACATCCCAGTCCAGTCCAGATCA